TTAAAAGTAGATGAAATCGACCATGTGATATTAAACAAAAGTAAGTTGAACCATCATAATTATGAACCATTATCTGAAGACAAGATGTTAGTAACTCTTTAAAAAGAAAAACAGTCACTGAAACATTATTACGTGAAATAATTATATACATATATATTGTATATAGATGGAACATTTCATCATTAAACCAAATTTTTTGTCTAATATTTACTATTCATGGATTAATAAACATTTATTACATACTTCTTTCTTTAATTATTTTTTATATAAGATAAGTATAAAAAAATATTCTGGTACATTATTTTAATGAATTGAATATATTGTGTTTAAAAATTGATAGTAATTTTAAGCCGAATTAATTAACATCGATTATGAAAAAGCCATACATAATTAAATTAAACGTATATGGCTGAATATWTCCATAAAAGGATGTCGATTTCATCTTGGCCAAGCTTGGTGGTGTAAAATTCAGTCACTTAGATTCGCTTCACAATTTTCTAATATTACAATTCTATTAGACAACATTTAACGTACATATTTGGTTAATAATTTTTGAACTCAGTGGATGTTGGAGATATATTTACAATAGAACTAGCAGCCATGCAGATTTTATATCATAAAACAACCAAATTGTCTGACTATTTATTATATATATATATATATCAGAGGATTCAAGTTTTCTTCTTCATTTATGGACAGAAAAGAGTTCAAGCATTAGGTGCATCTCWATAATGCTGCATGTAAATCTTTCCACACAAAATTTAATAGCTATTTTGAGTCTCTACATCCTAATATAAAAAATGTATGGAACTTTTAAAATAATTCAGACCTGGATAGTAACCTAACTTAACCTAATGAAGTTTCAATAGGCCTACCTAAACTAAATGCATGAATACAAATTAGAAAAAATCTAAATTTTATTGATACTCAAATAAATAGTTGAATAAAAAATATCAAATTTTGAACACATATATACAAATATATTGGCTAGTAAATATAAGTCTAAACAATGTTATACCAAATAATTTTGTGATTGACTTATTATTTTTTAATTTTTTTTTTTTAAAGTTATATATTTTTGTATAAATGTTAATGTATAATGTTTATAATATATACCTAATAATGTATACTCTCATATTATAATCAATTAAATTCGATTTACGAATTTACGAGGTTTTTCATAGAAAAGTTTAAGAACCACTGATTGATTCTATACGTGAAGGGTAACTAGGGTRAAAATTCTTGGGAAGCCTACGTATATAATTATTAATTAAAAACTACCTGTTCATAATAATGAGGAAACTAGTTTAAATCATCGTTTTTATTTACGATAAAAGCTATTTAGGCTGGGAAGAAATTCGTATAATTTGTGAGGAAACTAGTATACACCATGTTGAACTATAGGTTAGAATTCAGTGGTTCCCAACCGCCGGTCCGCAGACCGACATCCGTCCGCGATCAAAAGRAACCGGTCCGTGTTATATTGAAAAAAATTATATTTTATTAAATATTGTTTTTTTTTGTTTAAATTGTACTTATTAAATATATATAATTTTCTTTTTGTAAATGATACATCGCCGGTATTGTTTTATTTTAATATTTTATTCATATATATTTTTAACTTTCTACACTTCACTACACTAATCTGTATGCAAAATTCAAAAAATAAAGCATAACTTTTTTATTTTTTAAATCAAAATCCAAAGTGGTTGGCAATCATGTTTATAAAAGCCATCTATAGGTGGTCCGCAACAACAAAAAGGTTGAGAATGACTGTGTTAAATCATCGGTTATGTTACTCGTTATATAAGCTAAGGTCCTAACTCCCTCCTCAGACTCTGAAGGGATCTATTCTCCTTCACAGGTAGACCATTACTATCCTCGGGGGTTTAGAGGGTCGAACCCTTGATCGAACGGTAACTATAGTCATTATACAATATACCTTTTTAC